CAATACAAAAGTATACAAAATTTGCAAACTTTGCAAGGCTATATGTTCCGCATTTTACAACATTTCGCAACTAAACTTTGCAATTTTACTCATTTTAGTATGCTCTTTCTAGCTGTCGTGATTTATTTGCATCTCCTTGCCTAGTTTTAAAATTACTCTATAATGGGATTTGTCTATTATTGTGTGAACACACGCATGCCGTGAAGTGGCCTTCTGTTCTTATTCCCCAAAATCTGAAATACCCAACGCGAACATCGTTGGAAGCTACTAGTCTATAAATTTTGTGTATCTTGTCCAAATCTTTGTCATCCAGAGGCCAGTTTAATATCTTCAAGATAGCGACAAACGTCTATTTAATAGCCCTTCCGACAAGCATGTTTGCTTTCAATTCTGCATGTATTGACAGTGTTGTAAAGGCAGTCGAGCACTTCTCCCCTTGGGTTTCAGCCTCCTTTAATCATGCATCTTATTCATCGTAGTCTAACGCTTTATCGTGGCAACAAAACAATTCAATATCTTTTGGCTTCAATGTGCAATGCGCCAAGCATTTTCGACCTCAAACACATTACACATCGTGATTTCCTCGTCAGACGATTCACTCTGTTCTTCGGAGTCGCTCTCGTCACCGCTATCGCTTGTTTGTAAGCCCAGTTTAGGTTCAAATTGATAAGGTAATACCTTATCTACTTGATATCGTGGATATTTTCCATCCGAGTGATGAAAAAGCGCCAAATTTCTCACTAGAAGTACGAAGTCGCAATATGCGCCTAATAAAATATATTTGTTGTTTTGATTCTACCCTGCTCTTGACGTCACACACGTCATGTGACCCAAAAGATAATTTTTTTGAAAATCGATCCAAGATGGCGGACGTACTGAATATTTATGGTGAAATAACTCGAGAACAAAACATTTTTGATGAAAACTAATGGCATATTCGTAATCAGGGGGTCCAGTTTTACCAATATCAGGAATAAAAAAATTTATTGCCATTGTCCTTTAATTTACTAACAGAACAGTGCGATTGTGAATGGTAAATTGCAAAAAAACCCAATTTTTCCATATTCAATAAATAATTTCCGCTGCACCACATAATTAAGCTGGTACTTTTTGTCAACTGGGAATGAATACAGGAGAGACCGCAGTCAACTTTGTCCAAACTCAGAGAACTTCAGTATTTACTAAACCATACTGATACTAGTATAAATGATTAATAAAAAATTGAATGATTAATTCACTTGGTGTACAGCTAGGGACCGCGCACTGTGAATCAGTTTTCAGCCGACAAATTAAGAGGGGCGAAAGCGCGCACGAAAGATCTGGTTGCTTTAAAATGTAACTGAAGTTTGTGATATTGTATATGTATATGTGAGTTTCACGATGTAGCATTTTTGGTATAAAAATAATTGCATAATAGCGCATCATAAAATTAACATATGTCAAAATGTTATATCGCTTCTAAATGTTTAAATCAGAAAATGAAAGTGATCGCTACGAACTCATGTGAAAAGAGTCAGTCAACGCTCTGCCGAAAGTCGTGGGTTTTCCTCCCACAGGGCCAAAGTTTCCTCCCACAGTGCCAAAGTTGACCACAATTGTTGTAGAGATAAATAGTCTAAGGCTAAATAGGCTAAGTAAGTAACATAAGTAAGCGTAAATGTAATACTTGATGTAGTCGGTCACTGAAAAGCCCCATTGAGGAGTGAACTGATTAATAATGTAATGTTGTACATTCCGTATCGGATAGGTGCTTTTTCGCGCCGCTACAGAAAGCTCTCCAGTATCGGTAAACGTAAACTTGATATTATGCTTCAGCTTCGTCTTTCTTGATTGTCTCTCGTGGCTTTTCTCCCAAGCCGCAGCAGTCCAACCCGCACCACTTGCACGGCCCGTATCTGAAGCAACACCTTCTGCAGGCGGGCACGCAACACACGCAGAGAAAGGTCACCACTAGAATTGTAATCGCCCAGAATATCAGCCCGATCGACCAGACGGTGTTCGCAATGCCTTCGTCGATCCCCGACGCGATCGGAACAAGCCGGTTCAGGATCGCGCCACAAAGGGGAGTCATCAGCAACACTGTGGCGAGAAACCCGCAAGGTATGACTGTACAAACACGGCAAATGTAACAATCCATGCCACAGAAAGGTCCACCAATCCACATGAACATCGGAAACATTCCTGGAAGAGAAGAAGTGATAACATCATTTCCAGGGCGATCTGGGCAGGGTATTGAGAGCGGTCAACGGTCATATGAGGTTTACAGGTTGTTACAGAAATTGTTACAAGTGTGCAAACAAGTTGTTACAAATCTGTTCACAAGCTAACGACAATTTCGCACTGTTTGTTCCTAGTTGTTGCAACAAATTTGAAATAAGCTGTTGAGGACTTGGTTGTAACAATATTTCTATATCATAACTGTATCACGACAGTGTATCAACAAGCTAATTGTTACAACTGTGAACATGTTCTTCCATACTTGTTGACAACTTGGGACAAGCAGTGCGAACACAACTTGTTGGCAGACTTGCTACAAGATGTGAGCTTTTTGCGTGTGTATTCCAAGAGCACACAAAGCACGAGTGGGTGTGAAAGCACTCGGAGCGAGTTCGCTCAGTTCTTTGTGATGAATGGAAAAGAGGCTTTGTAGACCAAGGAAATACGTCACACTTTAATATACTTCAGGAATGGGCGATCCATTGTGAGATCTATCTCGTACCCATGGTCACGAGATATATGTTTACGTAAGCACTTTTAAAGTCACTTCACTTACCTTTATAAAACGTAATAGGAACGAGCGATGCCAACTTTATACCAAGCCATAAATTAGTCTTCGAGAGAGACACCTCATCTGGTGTATCACTTGAAAATATCGCCACACATTCCCAACAATTTGGTTGTTCCCAGACTAAGGCACTCAACTCAATGACTATAAACCCTAACGGTACATCATGAAGGATTGCCTCTAGGGCTAGTATCATGCCATGAATTTTATAAAAATGTTTTAAAAATGACGAATCGTCGATATCGTGTTCAAATGAAGGGCTTCCACTCGCAACAAAGTATTTAAAGTACATGAAAAGCTGCGTTAGGAACAGAAACCCTCCTAGCAAGAAAAATGCGGCTATAGTTATTTGCAATATACGTAGGTCGGTTTTACTATTTTCCAAAGCAGTCGACGTGAAATTATCACTCCCAGAACAGCGCACCGATTCGCCTGCTTCGTTTGTGAAGTTGCTGTTTATGGTTTCATCGCAGTCTGGAAGAATTTTGGAACTGTCGACAAAAATGCCAACGTCAGTGAGAAGATTGAACGCCTGGGTAATAAAGTAGATACACAATTGTATTACCACCGAACACCGATCGCCTACAGTCATCTTTGTATTCAGTCTGTCGTGGTTTAATAACTTTAATTATACCAAAACTCTTTCAGGATTTAAGCTGTGTTTGTAGATCTTTATCGCCAGTTTTCAACTGGTCTTATTTTAACGACAAATACAAAGTCTTTGCGGTTAAAACCTGCAGACTGACAAATACAATCACCTATATTCGACCATCAGCCGAATATACAGAAACCGATTCTGTGTCTACGATTTAACCAAATCCACCAACCAAACTGTAGCAAAATGTCACTAAAATGTTACAAAAATCTAACTGTATTTCAATTTACAATCGACTCAAACCTTGAAAGATTTCAGTACTGTATTCTTCAGTTCTTGTTACTAAGGAATTTCCAGAGTCGAGACATTCCTTGTCCATAGTTCCCAGACAAACAACGAATGAATTTTGAATCACAAACGAGCTCACTACACGTAATTTCGTAATCTTTCAATCCAGAAAGGATTCTAAGCTTCTAGGACGTTACTGGTATTCAAAATTGGTTAAAATATCACAATTATTCAATAAAGGTTTAGTGGTTTCTCTTTAATTTCTTCGTCGTAGTTTTATATACACAATTATAATATTTTATGCAAGAATGGACACAAGATTTCCTAATTTGCTTAACAATGCTATTATAAAAATGTTTGATGACATTTTAATTAAATTGCAAAAATATCGCTGGTCATATAGCAAATTAATGATCCGAGATACTTACAAAACTTAGGTAGTTTGCATTGGGTTGATATTTTAGAATATCGATTTGCGCTTTTCCGGACAAAGGAAAAGTTTTCTTAGTAGAAATTTTGAAGCTACATTTTTCATCTTCACAATATTTTAAATGGTTTTCATCATGTTTGTTTGTGTGATGGTGGTACAACACCAATCAATTATATAAATTTAGGGCTAGACCATCAGATATTCTGCGGGAGGTGGGTGGTTAGGTGGTATTTGGTGGTGGGTGATGGGGGGAGGAGTGGTAGATCCTCCAAAAAATACATGCAACGAGTGGAATTTTAAGAAATACAAAAAAAAATCCTGCACAGTTTCTGCACCGTAACAAAAAAAGTTCGACAAAGGTTCTTAAAAACAATTCTTGCAAAGGAAGTCTCCCCTCCCCCCTAGATATCTATAAAATTGTCCCCCCCCCCCCTTATCTCTGAACTTTTCAAATGAAACCACTAATCTTTCAGTATCCTGCAGATAATCTTGTATTATTGGACAGCTGAGAACTTAGCTGGAAAAATGAAGGCAAGGCTGTCTTCTCTGGGAAGTTACTGTGAGAGGTTGAACTGTTATCTTGGCTTGCTTGCCTACCTATAGACATGCTTTCTGTATAGAGATAATTGTTATTGCCACTTGCGTGACCGTAGTAGTTGATATTTTGGTTGCCTGAGTGATTGACTTGATTTTGTGAGCTGTAGTCTTGACTGGGGTTATGAATTTCATATTGATAATCCTTGAAGTAACCTTGACGATAATCGTGACCCTGATGACCTTGCGATTCGTGACCTTTGCTCTGTTGACCTTGACCTGGATGACCCGTTTGACTTTGACCTGGGTGACCCGGTTGACCTTGACCCTGATAAACCTCACTTTGATGACCTTGATTTTGGTGACTTTTATCATGGAAATAATTTTGACCTTGAGGTTGACCGAGACTTGAACTTTCAAAATGACCTTGATTTGAACTTTGACCTTCACCTTGATGGATACTAGCCTGGTATAAAACTTTTCCTTGGTAACTTTGAGACACATATTGAACTTGACCTTGACTAACTGTTTGACCTTGATAGTGACCTAAAAATTGACCTTGACCAGGCTGACCTTTTATGTGATATGTCTCAAAGTGGTTTGAATAAACCTGAAAATTATGACAAGCATCCTGTGACGAATCTTGACCATTTTTTTCTGTGGCAACCCTTGAAAAACTAAAATTATTGTCTTCATTTTGTGCACACATTGAATTGTATACATGTCCTTGATTGTCTCTGATATTTTCAATTCGATAAATCTCCGACGGTATAGCATTGATCCCTAGGTACACTTCTCCGGTGGGGAAATTGTCCTGGGGTGGGGCATGTAATTGCGGCTGGGTTGTTTGCTGCGCAAAATTGTAGTATGAATGCTTTTGAACTTCATATTGTTGTGCGTTGGACTGCTGGCTATTAGAGGTTTCAAATTGTTGGATTTCCTGTTGAATATTTTGAAACAAATGCAAATGTTGTTCCTTGTCTTGTGCGGGTTCAGCTCGTTGTTTTGAAGGCTGTTGCTTTTGGGTTTGTTTGTTTGTGACATTTTGCTTCTGGCTGTCTTCTGAGTTTTGTGTTTTGGAACTTTGTTCAATACCTGATGTTTCTGCTGAACCTAAATGAACACGTAGCAAACAATTAAACAGTCGAACTGCCAATATATAAAAATTTATAATCAGAGTTACAAGAATCACAATTTGTCAAGAAAGTGTTTTTAGGACTAAATTTTTAAAAGTGTCAAAAGGACATACATTTTCTCAAGTGTCGTGTTAGGCCAAGCTTCAAGTCTTCGTCCAGTTGCGCTATCATTTGATTCTCAATTATAAGAAGAATATATTCCTCAAACATCATAATGATCAACTGAAACGAACCTGAAAAATAAAATAACTTTATTTATGCTACGTAGATAGCTTTATCAATTAAATCATCAATAGTTAAATCATTGGACTTACCGAACATCGGTGCTCCTTTCAACGTAAGTTCTTGCAATATACGAGAAGTGATAAACGACCAGCTTGTCAAAAATGTTTCCGACCTTTTGGATAAATTATCTGACGCATCATCCAGCTTTGTCTGAAAAGAAGAGATGTTGACTTTAGTATTCTCTCTGTCTAACACCAGACGATTTCACTTGACAACGGAAGCAAATTCTTGTGGAGCACATACTTTATCTTTTAGTACATATTCTTCCACGATGCTGTCAAACCATTCTGCATATGCTTCGATTGGAGCTTGCTTGACCAGAAGATTTTCAAATTCTTCCATAACTGAAAGACAAAGAAGGGATATCGTTAGTGCATGAATCCGATGAAGAAGAGTCTATAATTAGAACTGATAGAGCTATCCAGTATAAATACAGTTAGTTTAGTTTAAATTTCCTCCTAGCTGTAGTGACACTGGATCAATAAGAGATGATCTTTACTGGACATCTAGGAAGAAGAACTGAGAAGAATTTAGAACTGATAGAGCTATCCAGTGTAAATAACGTTAGTTTAGTTTAGGTTTCCTCCTGTAGTAACACTGGATAAAATAAGAGATGATCCTTACTGGACCCCTAGGAAGAACAGTTTAGAACTGATAAAGCTATCCAGTATCAATAAAGTTAGTTTAGTTTACAGGACTTTCGTCAACGACATTCCAGGTATACTTACACATCAACAGGACAGGTAACTCGACGTCTTCTTGCTCCGTTAAAAACAACAATTCAGACAAAATATTTCTCAGGTCAAGGCAACGAAACTCATTCAATATTCCTGACATGGATTCATAGCTCAAGAACACTGGACGGGCAGTCTAAAGGAATTAAAAACATTATACAAATCTATATTTGATTATAGCAATAATAACTATATTAAACTAACTAACTTTGAATAGTTCTAGCAGTTCTAAACAATTCTTCTTAAAGAATGATCCAGTAATGGATCGATGGGCCACCAATTTTTTGGTATGTCCACGGTTGGGCCACCAAATTTGGCAAGATTAGATGGCCATGGGCTTTGAAATTTTTATCTACATCCTAAGATGGGTCACCAAACTTATTGGCAAAATTTGTGATTTACCTCCAGCACACCCTAGCAGTAACTTTATGACTAGTCCCTTATTGGAGGAAACCAAATCAAAGCAGAATGAAGGCACTACATATTGCGAATATATTCTTATATACCTGAGCTAAATTAATGAAGGTCATATTTCTTTTAAGCAAACGCACAAAATTCTTGGCAACTAAAATATGAAAAAAAGAAAAATTTAAATATAAACAGACCAAAAGTCTCAAAGTTTATAAGATTTTAATCAGTTACCTCGAAGTTTTTGGCTCTTCAAAAGAGCTGGTGTGTTTTCTAAACAGGATTCAAGAGATTTCACAAAGCTGATGGCAAAATCCTGAATTTCTTCCGTAAGACTGAAAACAATAAGCTTGATAAGTTTTAAAGTTGTTTAGGTTACAGTAAAACCCCGAATATAAGAACCTAGAATTTGAGAACCTGCTAGGCTAAAATATTTTAATTAGATCCGCTTTAAATAAGAACCTATTCAGGCTATAATCATAAGTTACAAGTTGGTATAGTGCATATATACTGTCATTTTTTAGATCATTTGTGCATATTAATATATATTAATCATATATCGTTCCCAACAAAGAGTTTTTGGTCCAAGTTCTGTCTGTATTCAGGTAGTTGCATCCTTATTTGGCAGCTTTCTAACTTAGTACTTCTTCCACAAGCCATGACAGCTTAATGGTGAATAAGTGTAGCATTATCTGTTGGGATTATTTGTATAATTTGTATGTAATTTTCACCATCGCACCTGTCTGGGATATCCTGGATGCACGAGGGCACAAGAACATCGTTAAATATCTGAAGCGATAAACACAATGGGATTCTACATAAAATTCTATAAAAATTACATTTTGTTTTTGATGTTATTCTAAGCGGTGTATATCCACACTGGGCAGGCTGAAAAGTTAGCCTGACAACGGTGGAAATCAGGCTAACTTTTCAACCTGCCCAGTGTGGATATGCACTCAGAGAAACATCAAAAACATTATATATTCACCTGAGTACACAACATCAAAACACACATAAATAACATTTTCTATAATTTGTGGCGAACCTTGTACAGCAGTGAATCACAGACGACAATGATATCAATAACTGCGTCACACTCCAGCACTGGAATCATGTGTTGAGGCATGCCACGCCAAAAATGAAGTAAAAATTTATCAACCTAGAAACAAGATTTTCTTTGCTTAACCATGCAATATAAGATCGAGTAAGTGTCATCTCTTATTGATCCAGTGTTACTACAGGAGAAAACCTAAAACTAAACTAACTTTATTTATACTGGATAACTCTATCAGTTCCAAATTGTTCCTCCAAGAGATCCAGTAAGGGTCATCTCTTATTGAACACTGCAGTGTTACTACAGGAGAAAACCTAAACTAAACTAACTTAATTTATTTATACTGGATAACTCTATCAGTTCCAAATTGTTCCTCCTAGAGATCCAGTAAGGGTCATCTCTTATTGAAACAGTGTTACTACAGGAGGAAATCTAAACTAAACTAACTTTATTTATACTGGATAGCTCTATCAATTCTAAATTGTTCTCCCTAGAGAACCTGTAAGAGTCATGCATTCCTTATTAGTCCAGTGTTACAAGAGAAAAAAGTCTGAACAAAACTAATGACATTGGATAGCTCTATCGGTTCTTTCTAACGTATTCTCCTATCTGGAGGCTCTTTAAGTGACTATATATATATTATGAGAGAGATTCATGTACCTCATTAAAATTCGCGTTCATAACGGTATCCAGCAACCGCTGACAATGAGTGCGATACATTATGATGAATGTTTCAACCTAGAGATAGGATATTCTTCAATGATCACGTACATTGTACAATGATATCGTTTTCAAGAAGATTCAAAGCATGCACGCCTTGCCGCTCATGCCATGCATAAATTTACCAACGAAATATATACATAATTCATCGTAATTACATGAAAAAAGACTCCTATTACTGTACCTTTTCAACCGACAGATTTTCATTCAATATCATTTCGGATGCGTTTGGAAACTCTGGCAAAGTATTACCGCCTTTCCTGTCAACACTAAATTTCTTTGTTATTCCCTGCTAAACAAAAATATATATATAGTTATTACTTGTCACTCTTGTCAGACTTGTCGTTGAACATATATTAAATGATGTTGACTTTGCTATTTTGGTCGGTCTATAATGCGAGAAATGATTTTGCTTGTCAGAGGAAAAGTTCCCGGATGAAAAAGAGTGAAATACAGCGCAGAAAGATCATCCTAGTTCCCCTCGAACACAATTCTAACCTTCTTGCTTCCTTCTGTGCCTGAAAACCTATGCAAACAATAAAAAAACAAAGTTAGTGGAAATTTCTTCCAATCTTTAATGACTCAGGAGCAAAACTCAAGAAGAAATTATATCAAACCTGGTTAAACCTTTTCCTGAATATACAGAATGGTAGTAGACTGAAGATTCCTTGATAGATATACCATAGTAATGATATCTAAAAACATCAAGGTTATATATACTTATTCAATGATGTTTGTGGTGTTACTCTGAGTGTGCATATATCCACACCGAGCCAGCTGAAATGTTTGCCTTGACCACGGTGGGAATCGAACTCGCGCGACCTTTCGATTCCTACCGCGGTCAGGCACTAAACTTTTCCGCTTTCCCGATGTGGATGCACACTCAGAGTAACACCACAAACATCATATTTACCTGAGTACATAACACCAACACACATAAAAAATACTTATTCAACTATGTTCTTATAGCAGCAAAATTATGCAGTTAAAATGAGTGGGTGCGTTTTACTAAGCACTGTGGTGCAGTACAAATTTCGTGCCCTATAAATGTCAATATTTTTGAGATCAACCACCTACTTTGACTGGCCTCTCGTTCCCAATCTTCTTGTCGTCAATTTGGGGAATCTTTGTCGGATAATCTGAAATCATGATCGAATTACAGCGTCAGTTTTAAATTCATTGCAAGGTCCATTGAGGATAAACAAACGCTACAGCTCTAGGTTTCTTTACTTTGCCAAATGTCGCTGGACCAACAGCGGAAAACTTTCTCTTCTTGCAAAAGTCCAGGTAGTGAGTATACAGCACGCATCTCGGGACACAAACACCTTGGATCAGCTCGTAGTTCTCCGATAACCTTCAGAAAACAACAAGAAACAATCATGATCTAACGTCTGGCGGTTGTGGTGTAAAACATAAACTAAACTAACTTTATCACTGAATAACTCTATCAGTTCTGAACTGTTCTTCCTAGAGTAAGGATCATCTCCAGTAAGGATCATCTCTTATTAATCCAGTGTTACTACAGGAGAAAACCTAAACGAAACTAACGTTATTTATACTGGATAGCTCTATCAGTTCTAAACTGTTCTTCCTAGAGGTCCAGTAAGAATCATCTCTAGCTTATTGATCCAGTGTTACTACAGGAGGAAACCTCAACTAAACTAACTTCGTTTATACTGGATAGCTCTATCAGTTCTAAACTGTTCTTCCTAGAAGTTCAGTAAAGGCTGCATTCCAGTTACGCGTTTTTCATACGCACGTAAAAGTTGAATTCGCTTTACATCCTACTTTTGAAATAACTAAATTTATAAAAGGACAACATTCAGTTTTGTGTATGATTTTACTTGTGTATTTTAACATATTTATATGTATTTCAACTTTTACGTGCGTGTACGCACGTATGAAAAACGCGTAACTGGAATGCAGCCTTTAGAGTCATCCTTTGTTGACCAGGAAGAAAACGGAGTACTTGTACTCTTCTCAAATCTTCTCACAAATCTGGTCACAGAGATAAAAGACACATACGTTAACCATTACGGACCATCAACACCATTTCGTCCACTTACCATTGTAAAGTTTCTGCAGTTTGATTTTGCTTCGCGAGTAAGTTACGTTTGTTGTGCTCTTTTGTAGAACGACGCCGACGTGAAGCTGAAATAATTCAATCATAAAAGTTCTTAAATGCCGTTAAAGATTTTACTTACGGCTGTTCTGGTTTGTGTCTCAACTGCCAGAGAAGATTAAAAGTACTTGAAATCTCACTAGCCTTCAGACAAAGGATCTTCTCTGATTTAAGACTGTTTTTTTCCAGCAGCTTACTGTAGAATACTACCTACACTGGACCAGATTTCAGGAGTCCCAAGCTGGGATTAAGTCAAGCAAGCATGTAGCTCATGTTCTGTCAAGCTTAGCCTCACATCAACAGGTAGTTGTTTAACTTTTAGTTTAGTGAATACTTACACAAATTCCTTGCTTTCCCATGGTTGCTTGGTTGGCTTTCGTCGCCAGAGAAATACGAATCATTCGCTGTTATTTTGTCGTGAGAACGACTCTTTCTTGCTTGCATTATTTTCCAGCCGAATCCTTGCCTGGTTACGCCGAAATATTTGCACAAATTCAACTAAATATCTCGCCCTGAAAGGTTTAAATGCCCGATTCCAATTAAACTACGAAATTGCAACACGCTTGCTTAGAATTTTGGAATGGAAGGCTTTTCAGTTCTAAACTTTTTGTGATATTCACTTTACATCGAGGGCAGCTCATTACACTAGCTTTTTTCCGAAAGCCGTCAACCTTTGTCCAGCTGCTGAAACTCCCACAGAAAAGGCAAAACAATGTGCTTGTTTAATTTTGTGTTCAAACAGACATTGAATAAGAGAAATTATTTCTCATTATTTTCGCCGTTATTGCATAGCTGCGCTTCTAATTACCTCGTTAACGAATAAAAGGAATATCAAATTTAACAGCAAGACACGCGCATTGATTAAGCATAAACCTTTTCAAAATCCCAAGAATGAGCTGGACATGTCACATGTGGTAAAAAGCTACGATTTTCACACAAAATTGTTGATATTTAATGTTTTAACGCACACAAAAATACTTAAATCCTGTTTAATTATCATTGTTGTCTAGTTAAAAAAATTTACATCAAGAATTTTTAATTTTATTTGTTCATCTGCTGTGTAAACACACAAATTGTTTTACAAAGGCACAAAGGGGACAGCATAAATTAAAATCAAATTTACCCGCTGAGAATTGTTTAAAAATGCACCGATTGATGAGATTACGATCATGTACTGAAGCCCGGATGGCACGAGCGTGAGATTTGATAAGAGTTGGCAGTCCGCATTGTTACAGGGACATTTCAAGCTCTATATTAACAAAATAAAGGTTTGATGTGTTCCAACTATGTTTTAACTTAAACAGAATACATGATAGTGTTGGGAAAGCAATACTGAGAACAGCTAACCAAGCAGATCGCGTGACTGTCAACTCTCAAGAACTCTCATCCTAGTTTCATCCGAGCTTCACACTGGAACCAGGGACGCCGGAGCGAGGGTAGCGCACAGGGGGGCAATGTTGACGTAAGGGAAATCACTAATTAATATTTCGTTTCCGAAAATTCTTTCCGGAACTTTAATTCAACAAAAGAAGGGCAAAAAATTTTGAAAATATAATTTTTGACACAATATTCCAGAAAATTTCACATATATTTCAATATTACGTATATTTCACCCGTAATTCATACTTTTTAATCGTTGTACCATATATTTTTTGGGTTAGAATTTTTATCTATAAGGGCACTTTCGCCCCCCTGCCCCCTTACTAAAGGGCAAGGGGGCGATGTCCCCTGCGCCACCCCCCCCCCCTGCGCCACCCTTTCCGGCGTCCCTGACTGGAACTCTAGTAAGAACAACAAAATGAAGAATTTTATGAATTTATTTATCTCGTTTGTATATCTTGGCAGCTAATTCAGTGAAAATTTCCTTAGGGAGACCACTGGGTGCTTTGTTAATCAGTTGCATTAATTTTCCATAACTAATTTTCTCGTAATCATGGTAGACAGTTTTCATGTCCAATTTTGAATACACTTCTTTGACTTTCGCTACAGCAACAGGGTCGTTGATTCCGTAGTTTTCCTGGAAATAAAATCAATGCTTTGTATTCAGTGACGGACACTTCGCGACCCTTAGGGGGAGGGAGTTGGATTAGGTTTAGTGGTTTACAGCTTATAACCACCTTTTGTATAGCTCGAAATCTTAGTTCTCTAACACGGAATCAATAAGAGATTATCCTAACTGGACCTTTAGGAAGAACAGTTTATAACTGATAGAGCTATCTAGTATAAATAAAGTTAGTTTAGTTTAGGTTTCCTCCTGTAGTAACACTGGATCAATAAGAGATGATCCTTACTGGACCTCCAGGAAGAACAGTTTAGAACTGATAGAGCTATCTAGTATAAATAAAGTTAGTTTAGTTTAGGTTTCCTCCTGTAGTAACACTGGATCAATAAGAGATGATCCTTACTGGACCTCTAGGAAGAACAGTTTAGAACTGATAGAGCTATCTAGTATAAATAAAGTTAGTTTAGTTTAGGTTTCCTCCTGTAGTAACACTGGATCAATAAGAGATGATCCTTACTGGACCTC